CAAACTTGTGTGAGGTCTCGCATTATCGTGGTGGAACACTACACGTTTTCTATTGACCAATTCTGGCCTTTTCTGTTTAAGTGAATCGTTCAATTTGTCCAGTTGACCACAGTACACTTCAGAATTAATCGTGGTATTGTCCGGTAGAAGCCCAAAAAAAACTATCCCTTTGAAATATCACCAAACAGATAGCATAACCTTTTTTTGGCGAATATCGGCCTTCGCAGTGGTTTGAGCTGGTTCACCTTTTTTACTCCATGATCTCTTCCGCTTAAAATTTTTGTAAACAACCCATTTCTCGTCGCCAGTAATGATACGCTTCAAAAATGGATCATTTTCTTGACGTTTGAGAAGCAAATCACAGTTGTTAATGCACCGAAGCAAATTTCGCTCTGTAAGAACATGTGGAACCCATATATTAAGTTTTGAAATAAAACCAAGACGTTTCACGTGATGATGAACGGTCGAATTCGATAAATGTAACCTCTCAGCAATCTCACGAGTTGTTATTTGACTGTTTGCATCTACCAATGCCTTTATTTCGTCTCCATCGGCTTCAACGGGTCTTCCAGAACGTGGTGCATCTTCAAGATCGAAATTGCCGGAACGAAATTTTGCAAACCAATTTTGGCATTGTCGTTCGGTCAGTACATCTTCTCCATACACATCGCATCATTTCCGCCTTGCCTGAACTGCATTTTACCTTTTCGATAGTAAAAAAGTAAAATATGCCGAAAATGCTGATTTCGATTTTCCATCTTTGATAGGGCACCAAACAAAAAAATGGCAAAGAATCAAACAAAACTCTTACCATACAAGCATTACTATGTCAGCTGTCAAAATATTTAATGTTTATGCGGCTTAAGTGTAAAATTGGCTGTGAAACAATACAATTAGGTTCTCTGTTGAAGAAAAACGAAATTACTTTCCGAACAACCCGATAAATAGTAAACAATTTTTAACATTTTGGTGTCGTCAAAAGCATTCAATGATGGTTCTTGTAAATGACGTATCCTCGAATTTTCTTTAGTTTGTACGCACGTCATCGGCGTATTATGACGTCATCAGTAAGTATGTTTACGTAGCATTAATCAATGGATGAGAATATATAGGTACGCAGGCAGCTATACGGACAGTGCTGCATTGCAAAATTGTCGTTATCTAAACGTAAACTACCACAATTTCGATTGACGCACAATTCTGCCTTAACAAGCTACATTTTGTGAAATACATTGATCAGTCTAATATAAACACGTAATTCCAACGTTTATTAAGCGGCAGAGCAAAGCAATGCAAGCTTTATAGGAGAGTCGATGGTGTCCGTCTGTCCGTCCGTCCGTGAACACAAGTGTCAAACGCTTGGACCGATTTGGTTCAAACTTTGCATAGTTGGCCTATACAGGGTGATTCCTATAGTACCTGCCACCGTTTGGGAGCGTATAGGGGGTGCCTAGGGGAGTATTTTGATATAGGACACTTGGGGTCGGAAATCTAAAATAAGGGCGCCAGAACCAAATTTATCTTCTGGAATATCACGCCTGTATGTAGGCAACCCAACCGACCGACGTTTCGCGCGGAGCGATGCAGAGCGAGTTAGCGCGAGGAAGCGACATGGGAGGGAAGGAGGGAAAACAACAGTCAAAAGCAATAACGTTTACAAGTGTTCAACGTGGCCACCGTTGTTCTCAATGCACTTCCTACATCTAGCCAACTATTATTATACTATTGCCATGTGTTTATTCACTTGATACGCGTCGTTGCAGACGGGATTTCGTGGGTTTAAACAAAATTCTGATCAAGTGTCAGCCACACATCGCCGCCTGAGATCGCTCCGTGTGCACCGCCGGCCGGTTGGGTTGCCTACCTACAGGCGCGAAATTCCAGAAGGTAATTTGGCTCTGGCACCCTTATTTTAGATTTCCGACCCCAAGTGTCCTATATCAAAATACTCCCCTACGCACCACCTACACGCTCCCAAACGGTGGCAGGTACTATAGGAATCACCCTGTATAAAGAAAGTAAACGGTATAACTGGAGAAACGAATAAAGTGTAGGGTGGTCATTAGCACCTCCAGCTTGGCGAATAGCGCCAAAAAACCGCTGAAAATGATACCTTAGTTAAAAAGGAAAATAAAAATAAAATTTAAGGCCCTAAGATTCTGCAAATAAAATACAATTCTTATTAAACGAGCATGCAGCAAATAAAACATTCGTAAGCACAAAATGTTTAGCGCAAACATGAACTTTTGTGGTTAACCGTTTGTTTTTTCGCGGGATAATTTTACTCCACTCTTCAACTTGCTTTCCGGGATTTTAAAAAGCGATACCTTTTCTGCATTGCTTTCGTAGCCTGCGTTACAATTAGGTACGCAACATCTCCTTCCAAGTATTGGCACATAAACGAATAGATACACCTACACCGCAAAACGGACAGCACCTTTACAACCCAATACTACTGCGAACCCGTGAGTACGACAGAGATGGCTATGGCTCGCCTCAAGCTTTCTCTGTCGTGCGGCAAGCGTTGCATGATCGGGGACAGCCATCTCCGCCTGAATCGACAGTCGTCGGATTCTTACACCGTGGGTCACACCAAGGTGCTCTGTTGCTTTTTTAGATGCTCTTTAGGGGTTTATTGTGGTTTAAATGATCTTTTTATTTTGTTAATACGTTGGCATTACAATATTCCCCAAAAACAGAATTGATAACGTGCAAACTAATATCTATTAAAGAATCATACTGTGCCATACGTCATTGTAGTGGTAATAACAAATGCTACTGAATACAGAATGTATTTTTTTCCGGTCCATACAAAAATGCAAGTTGATGATGATTTTTCAAAGATGAAATCTTGTAGAGCTTAAACAGTGCCCATGAGAAGTGTTACCTATTGGTTTTTTGGTATCTTTTTCAATAGTTCCAGAAAAAAATAACAAGCTAAAAAGTCCTTATGCAAGCATAAATGACGAGAGCGTATTTTCTTCCTAATAGTTAATGCTGTCACATTCTCTTCATGAAACGCTTTTAAATGCTTTTGTAAATAGCATTGCGCATTGTCTACATTAGAAATTTTATTGAATACCTTCGTAAATAAAACATACCAGCATGCGTTAACAGTAATTTTGAAACCGGTATTAGTTTTAGTTTCATTCAAGTTGCCTACATATGATATTTCGTTTAACTGCTTTCATAAATAAGAAAGTTGCCATTGCGCATGCGCAAAACCAAATTTTAAAACTGGTGTTAGATTTGCTTGTTTTCCAAGTGCCTATGTATTTAATTTCATTTAAATGCTTCAGTAAATAAGGAAGTTGCCATTGCGAATGCGCAAAACTAAATTTTGCAACTGGTGTTAGATTTGTCTTTATTCCAAATGCCTATGTATAAAATTTCATTTAAATCCCTCCATAAATAAGAAAGTTGGCATTGCGCATGCGCAAAACAATGGGCGCGTTCATAAGACACAACTGTTGTGGAACATTTACCGATACGTCTTATAATTACGTCGCTACTTTTACGCTCTTTACGTCGGCCATTTTTAGTAGCGCTACACACACATGTCAAAGTATGGATTGTGACATAAAACCACAACTGTTGTGTCTTATGAACGAGACCATTATTTTGAAAACGTCGTTAATTTTACTTATATTCGTAGTGTTTACATATAAAGTTTCATTTAAATATCTTCATAAATAAAAAAGTTAGCATTGCACATGCGTTAAACCAAATTTCTGACACTGCGCATGCGCAAAACGAAAAAAATATGGGTATGCACGGAATCCTTGGACCAAGCCCTTTCAAATGAGCCCTATATCGCCAAAATCGGTTCAGTGGTTTAGAAGGAGTACGTGTGACGGACAGAAGGACGGACGGACGTCAAAGTGCAGCCAATAGCGATTTTTCACTTTGACGAAAATACGCTAAAAACGAATATGGCTAATTTCGGATGGGAATTTCCGAATTTTTAAAACATCATTTTACTAAGCCCTAAAATACGCAACTTTTTTCTAATTTAACCGAGTGTGTATCTCGAAATGCTGTTCATTCCTATCTGGGACAACTGTATTTGAAGAAGTGATTGCGTTTTTAAAATCAGTGGCAAATGTTCTAGTCGATTTTGTGAGCTCATGACCTATAAAATATTTCAAAACTACGTATCTTTAGGCATTAGAAGAAAAATGTGTCTTATCTGGGAAAACAATGTGTGACGCAATGTCTTAGCGGCGATAGAGTGTGCTTCCGTAAACAAACAATATGCGATGTAGATATTAATTAATTAATAGACACACTCTAAAGATTGTAAACTAATTAAACCCTTCAGAAGATTTATCAGTCGTTAAATTTTGACGACTCTTAACGACTACAAGAATCAAAACAGATAGATCATTTTTATGCAAAGTGGTAGTCGAGATTAAAAAAACTGCAATTTTTGACAGTAATGCGTCGTATAGGATAATAAAGGAATATATTTTAAAATCAGCAAGTGACTGTTCTGGTGTCTGCACCAGTTGTAACCCAAACAGGAAGTAATAGAATAAAACTGATAATGATAAGCACACCATCCTTCCTTTTCACGGAAATTGTGCGCAAAGTTTTCCTATTATTTATATTTTATTTATATGACATGAATCTTTACAGTCTTCTTTCTCTTATTAACGCAGATGATTTTAGTTTTAAGTACTCTTGGTAAGGACGATGATTGATAACCTTTAACCTTGCGTAAATATTTTGTGAGCGTGTGAGTCTTGTTTATATTTTTACCTGTGTTTGCTTTATTGTGGTGTTAATTGTGATTGCAGCTCACATAGCAGAGGGTCCCTTTTACCGCCAATACAAATGCCTGCCGCTCTCTCTTTCAACAGGTAACCATTGCTTTTACCTTCGTTACAATTTCCAATCTTACTAACTCGTCTTTTCTTAACCTTAACGTATTCAACCTATTATGGCGAATTATGTGGACCGTTTTCCTTGACAGTTTGGCGTCTACGCCTTCCCTAGACATGGACCCAGACTGTGACAGCCAACAAAGAAGGGGATCCACGGGCACTCTTCTATCGCCAGAGGTCGACGTAGGAATAGAGACCGACGGATTTTATCTTTTAAAAAAAGACTCCCAGCGAAGGACAACGCTCGCAAAAGTCCTGGCGCAAGACGGCGCAAAGATTTGCGAGCTTTGGATACAGAAAATTAGAACAAAGTATTTAGGCGAAACAGTATTAACGTTGCAGCATTTAGCTAAGCTTATGGGTGGCTTAAAAGAATATTTAACTGAACAGTCGTTAACAGTTATTGAAACAACTGTGAGACACTTGAAGGAAGAGCTAGACTTTGACGCTACCGCAATAAACCAACTGCAATTTGCCATATATCTATATCAAGTTAGTATTTGGATCTACGCAACTAGTTTGAAATCTCCATTCTATTTCTTTTACAGGAATCTGTAAACGAGGTACTTCGACGTCACCCTATTAAACCGCATTGGATGTTTGCTTTAGACAATCTGGTGAGATCTGGTGTTCAGGCAGCTATTACAGTTTTATCTCCGGAACTAGGCGAAAATTTAGCAAATCATAGTTCTCCGAGTACGGTCAACTCTGCGAAATCGAGCAAGAGTTCAGCTGGTTATGACTACCGCGATCAAGTGGTTCAATTGCGTGCAGAAAATACTCGTTTACTACAAGAATTAATAGACAGTCACAAACAGTATCAGACGTTGGTAAGTGGCTTTAGTTATTTCTTATAACGGGCGATCAAAAATAAGTGACTAGTGACTGTCGATTGTTGACAATTTATAAATATTCCAAACTTTCCATAAGAATTACGAATTCACAATTTAGTTTTCTATAATTCATTACTTTAGCTGCTCGCATATTTGAGCAAACAAAGAATTGACGTTAGCCGGGCGCATAATTGCGCACCCCTTATTTTTAATTAATAGCAATTAACGTTGGTCAGAAACATAATTACGGAAAGGCTACATTTTAGGTAAGGCAAGGTATTGAACATGAGCGCAAGGCATAATTGCGGCAGGCTAAATTTTAATTAAGCATATCTTGAATTACGCCCCCTTGATGGGAGATGCATTTATTTCGAGGCAGTTAGACCATACGTACCTTTCGTGAATTATAAAGCCTACATGCAAATTATAAACTAAATTAATCAGTGGTAAATGAAAAGATATTGAAGTGCCTAATAATATTGCAAATTTTGACTACTCTACAATCGAGTTTCTATAACCTCCCGCATCCTTTACAACCAAAATATCAATTTCTTTAGAACCATCTTAAACTATTCCACTCTCGAAACGAAAGTTTTTTTTTCTGTTATTGCTTTAATCGCATAACCGAATTCTATGTAGGGATCACCTTTAAACATTATGAGAATTTATTGGCATAGAAACCAATACTGTTTTCCAGTGGCGGCTCGTGTGTTACAAATACAGAGGTTCTGCAAGCTCTGCACTTATATTTGTTGAACCCCGAAAAATTCCTGGATTCTCCGAGACACTCGTCTCTTCATGTCCTCGCAGTGCCAATTCAAACATTTCACAAATTTGTATGTAGTCAATCACTTTAGTTAGTAGATTTCGCCATTTCTTCCTTAATTTTTGTTAATATTTACCCAATAGGCAGAATCTAGTTGTTCTCTATTTACTGTGGCGTGGCTAGTAAAGCGTGTTATGTAAATAGGATCGGCATGTTTCCTTATTTTTTACTCAAATGTGTTAAATATCGGTGACTCTAATTTGTGTACACGATTTATTTCCGCCAAACAGTGCACACGGGAAAGAGAAGAGAGCATTTTTCTTATGGCACCCACATATCGATTCGTTTCTTAACATACAATTCGCGATTAAATTGTCTATATACTGTTTATCACTCGAGCCTTCTTCTTCAATGGAAATATAGGCGAAATGGACGTCCGTCTTGTTTTAATTTAATTTTTTTCGTAGGTGTTGTTTATAAACTTTTTAACATTTAATAAACTAGGAATTTCTAATGCGAATATCAAAATAAACAAAAAAATAGGTAGGTATAACAATACGCGAAAACTTTAAAATTGATCCGCAAGTAACAATTTCTCACCGAGAACCGAGCTGGGGCTGCATCAGATGCAGTTCAAAATCTCGTTAAAGCTACACACTAAAAATAACCTCCGCGAGTGTCGCGAGGTGCGGGGAAACCTTGAATTTGGAGCGCAGCACCTTCTCGTATCGCACTGCTAAGTTTATATAGTCTAGTGCGCGGAGACTCATCGTTTACTGTGCTGGGAAACTATGCCACCTTTTAACTTCCGCGCTTGTCGCGCTTTATTTTATTATTATAGGTTTAACTGTAAAGCTTATTTTTTAATTTTCTGGTGGTTCTGCAGCTCTGCAGCCCTTATACACCAGCCGCCACTGCTGTTTTCTTAGAAAATAGTTTTAGAAGTAGAGAAGTTTAGTATTATTCCCTGAGCACCTCGCTGAGCACCAAGATTGCATCCAGAGGCGCTTGTGCCGAGGGTTTTAAGGTGCGAAGACAATAATTAACTTCTCTACCATCCGTGGTATATGTATACTATTTTTTTCACTACTACTACTTGAAGTCTTCTAAATTAACATATTATATTGATAAGAAAGTGAACGGTTGGACAGAATTTTTTGTTTATTAATCTAACATGTGAATCAAGTGCGTGGAAGTACAAGTCAAACAGGCCGTATTTTGTTCTGTCATTGAGATATTTTCAAAGAGTAATTTCGTTCGAATTTTTTCAAAATGTGATAATTTTAGGTATGTAATTTCTCTGGAAATGGCGGATGGTGGCATTTATTCATTTTAGAGAACTTGTCTAAACGTTTATTGAGTGAAATTTCGGGTTGTGTTTTCTAAAAGTGACAGCGTGACAGTTCTCATTATTGACTACTAGTTAATAATGTCCACATTATTAACCACTTTATACAACTGCCGAGAAAGCCTACTTTACAAGTGGAAAAAAGGTTAATAATCATGTCATGAGACGCCACTAGTGAAAAATTGCTATTTGTGTATTAAGAGCGCAAAATGATATATTGTCGATTGAAAGAGACAGTTGACGCGCGACGAAGGAGCGCGGCAATCTCTCGAAATCGACAATCAATTTGCGCTCGAATTACACACAAGATTTTTTCTACAATCGAGCAATTCACATATTTCCAAAAATATACATCTTTCACTGTGACATCTTAGATCATCTTAGATGTCATTTACTGGTTGTCATTGGATACTCTGAGCAATGCATATTTGATTTATAGTTAATAATTGGGAGAGCGAGCGTTTTTTTTATTTTGTCGCTTAGTGACTTTCCTAGAAAAAGATGACGTTTGCGTTATCACATACGAGCGCAAATGCCTACTCTGACTATATGTAGAAAAATATTTTTGTTAAATCCAATAATTAAAAATGTGTAAAATTGAAAGAAATTGTCTTGAACGGTTTCCCAAAAAAGTCGTATCTGACACTTGCCATGAAAGTCGACAACGCATGTATCGTTAGCATTGCAGTTTGTAATGAATAAATTAAAATTATTTGCAATATTTACCTTCTTCAGAGCAATTTTTCCTTATTTTAGTTGTCATTTATGGCGCAAATGTTCGTGATTTTTAATGATATAATTATGATTGTTGCGCCATGATAATTGATATTTGAAATTTGTTATTAGACTAAGTACCATCATATTTTAGGTAAAGCTATCAATTGACAATAGCCAGCAACAGGCCCAAGCTCTCAGACAGATTCTGTCATGCCGTTGTCAACAAAGAGATGACGTACAAATCGACCAACGTTTACACCAATGGTTGCAGGGACTCGAATTAGACGACGTAGGACAAAAGTTAATCAATGAGGGTTTTACTTTAGAAGAAGTATTGTACATTATTAGTAGAGAAGATTTACATAAGGTTGGCCTACGAGGAGGTCCTGAGCTTCGCATTTGGCGAGCGATCGTTCATCATCGGCAAACATCACCGTCTTTATGCAATGGAGACATTTCAGAAATATCTGGTACAGTTTAGTTTGCCTTTTATTTTTGTTCAAGACTGTTTTTTTTTATTTTAACGAATAGGTTTTTGTTTTAATTTATAGATTTTATTTGCGAAACACCTCTAATGTTCCATATTTTTAACAATAATGATTATTATTGTTTTGTTACTAAGTGCCTTAAAAGTAATTTTATTTTTTTAAGTGTTGTTAATTTAATTGAATTATGTGTTTTATTTGTATATATGCTGGCATATTTTATTAGTACTTGGATACATAGCAAATTTTATTTACATCTTACTGTGAGTTACAACATTTGTTACTACCAAATGTTTTGTCTTGTTCAGTTTTTTTTATTAATAAATGCATATAATACTCACCCTTAATTATCGCTATCTGATATCCCTCTAATAAACGGATATGTAGTCATTTTGGTATACAATAAATAGTAAATGATTAAAATTGCCACCACCCCGGAATCAAGTAATAATGATGTTTTAACTTTAACCAGTGAGTTTTTTATCTTTTTTTTTCGTTTCTTGTCATCAAATAACGTAAACGTAGTCATTGCTGACTCGTGTCATATTAAACTATAAAGAAAACAAAAACATGCAAGTTGAGTCTATACCAACCTTGGTTGAGTCTTGCGTTACACAGCATCAACTTTAGTTTTTATATAACGCAAATCGGCACAGACTAGGCCCCCCTTCACGTGCAGTTCTTATCTTGAATTCTTGGCGCGCGCTCCCGATGTGTGACATGCGTTGCATCTACACGTTCGCGCTTGATTTTTAATTTATTTCAGTTTTATTCTGTTCCCGGGTCTAGTAGTGCAACAGTGCTGTTAAAGAATAAGTTTGAAGAAGAGGAAAGCAATTGCTTTTTTGTTGCTGGTGGACGACGAAAGAGAAGTAAGAAGAAAGAGAAAAAAGTATTGGTCGAAACTATGGTATTTGAGAAGAAATGAATCCACACACATTGATTTGTTAAAGGAGATAAATCAAACAAACCCTGAAACCCGGGAAACATAGGACTACCCATTCTAAATTTCATCAATTACATTCTACTAAAGCTATCTCTCTTTTGCACACCTTAAGCGTACTACCTCCACCTTTGTCATATTGTGTCAATCCCGATGTGAGAACTGAGCGCATCTACATGCTCACATCTTGCTGTTGCTGCATGTCAGTTCGCGCCAGGAATTTAGTCTGATTTGATTTCTTCGCTCCGCGCCGCAACTGAAGCGCGCCTGGCATGTTTAACCCCTTCACGTGCGAGTTTGGAATTAACTGAAGGAGCGTCAGTCCAAAACTGACATAAAACTGCACGTGAAGGGGGGCCTTAAGAAAAAAAGTACATATCTGTACCCAGGGATGTACATTTTTAACAGTACGGCACATCACTTGTTTTAACTTACAAAAAAAAACACATTGAACAATCCAATCGTGTTTTCTATTACCCACAAATAATTCCCTTTTTTTTATTCAGTTGTGAATACTTGAACAGTAAACAAACCTAATATTTCAATATTCATTTTTAAAATTTTTCTACATTCACAGTGCTATTAATTTAGAAGTAGACATAAGGATTTCCTATGTCTACTTTTAAATGACAAAAATGCTTCTGAAAGGCGCGTAATTTTATACAACCAAATAACATGCGCGCGCATTTTGCATTGTCATTCTAGATTTTAATAAAAAACGACAGCAAATAGTATGCTTTAGGTTATGATGACATTCAATTTCAAATCCTCCGTTAAAGTTGAGGGTTGTTTACGGTGTCGTATGAGGATCGCATTTAGATAACCACTAATTTTAAAGCTATCAACACAGAAAATAAGTCTCTGACGCTCTTTAAACTATTACTGGCACTGTACCAATTGACCATATCAACTTTTCCTTCAGTTGAATAAGTACATCGCACATGAACGAAAATTAAAAAAAAATTAAAACAATATTCTAATGTGATAGCAAATCTTCATTTGTTTTAAGAAGATATTTTGTTTGCATAAAATTAGGCATCCTTCAGAAGAGTTTTTGTTTTTTAAAACTAGACATAGGAAATCCCTATGGCTATTTCTAAGGGCCGGTATTTCCATCTTGGGATAAAGTCAAGTATAAGATATCTTCCAGGTAAACCGACAGTTAGCCTCGCTTCGGGTATTTCGAACCTCGTTTAAATATTATCGGCAGGATAAGTTCTAGATAAAGTTATTGGGTAGATTTTCTGCAGTTATCAACATAACCCCAGGATATTGCGTCAAATTTCTAGTAAACTGGTGACGTTTTAAAAATTTGCGAAATTACCAACCGTACCTTTACTAAATAGGAAGAAAGAAATTGAAGTATATAAGTAGAAGTACGCAAATACATATTATGTTTTCTTGAAGGATAGGTAACCTATTTTAGATTCCAAATGGATCAAGATTTTCTTGACACAAGCACACGATTTTCAGATGTGCTGAAATTAGCAGTTCTTTTCTTTCTACGCGGTGCATTTACATCACGATTTTGGTTCATGTTCAGAGTACTCATAAGTAAAGCTTATTCTGTAATTTACGTTTGTCAAGTATATTACAAGTCACCGAATTTCTTTCCAAAACAAAAGCATTCGTTCAAATTGTCAAGTAGTAAGCTATCTTGCTCTAATATATGACCCTGCCGTTCGCTATCTTTTTCTATTACAGACTTCTAAAATCGGCAACATTGGCTAGGGTTAGGTAGCTATCTACGGGATATATTTATACCGCACGCTGATGCAAATACCCGCAGATAGATAAACGGAAGATATCAGCCGGTATAAGTTATTTTGCAGATACGAATCTACTACTTTATCCGAAGATGGAAATACCGGCCCTAAGTGAATATGACTGTAGGTATACACATTTTATTATATAGTTTATGTTTGTTTTAAGAAGCTTTTTCAACACGCACCAAAACAGAGCTAATATGCTCCATGAGCTTTGATGATTAACCAATAGACCGCGGTTACTAAAACCAATCACGTCCGCAAAAGGGTCATTGATCAAAATCCACCAGATTTCAAGATTGCCGAGTTCGCGCTTCTCACGCTCGGTCGTGGCATCACTATGAACAAGTTTCATAAGCTGTTTTGGTCACGTAAAAGACATTAAAATTGTGCTATCGTTCGTTAGGCTGTTGTCAGTAAATTTTCCTATGCGATTCAGCTACTGCAGTGACTCATCCGGTAAATAGTATACTCTACTCTGTTAGCTGTAAATGTTGGCAAAAAGTCTAAGTTTGTGATACCATGAGATGCCCCAACCTTAGCAACAACCTATGAATATGCTTTATCAATAAGAAGCACTCTATGTATACATTGGCCCATATGAATAAAAGGGAGCAAATCCTTATAATTGTAAAATTCAAAGTAAATACTCGTAAGTGCTCCTTCACACTGGACACAATGCGGTGCTGCTAAACAAACCAGTATGAAGGGGCACTTATGAGTACTTACTTTGAATTTTGCAAGTATAAACATTTGCTCACTTTTATTCATACGGACCAATATGTTATTTACAAAAAGCTGCCAACCGAAATCTGGTGGGATTATAGAAAAGATTATGAGATGGCCGGAATTTCTCCGAAGACAACCATCTGCACGAAGCACACACTTTAGAAGGAGCTGCAATACCATGATTTGAACACAAATATGCGCACTACCAATTAACTGTTATCTGTAGTTAGTACATGTTCAATGAATGTACTGTTTGTGTTACAGAAATAGCTATTTGTGTATTACAAAGCCATAGAACAACACACTTAGAATGAAAGCTGTTAAGGCGGCTCCACACGCAACGAAAACCCAAGGCATGCCTCGAGGCGCAAGACCTCAAGGAAACCTCTATATGTGTATGGAGAATTCTGTTGAGGTTTTCCTGCGCATCAGACGCCAGGGGCCCTATTCTTGACTCTACGTATTTATCAATGTCATTCGTTTTGTCAACCAAAACGATGAACTTTGATCGAATGGTATTCTTGACCGTTCGAGAATATTTCGAATTCGTAAATATCATTCGTTTTTACAACGAGCGGAATAAGCCACTCGAATTTATACATTTACCAAGGGAGATTTAAGAAACTGCAGCAAAGAGTTCTTATCCGAACTTATCGATATGTACCTACGTCCTACAGGAACCATCGTTTACGTAATTAACGCACGTGCATGTCTTAAGACGAGTCTCTCGATCTGAGTCTGGCTTTACAGCGCATCATATAGCATATTCATTCTTTTCGTGAGGGTGAAGCAGTTACCAATTAGTTGTTGGAAATTCATCATATTTAGCTGTTTCGCAACCAAAAACAAACTATAATAGAATTCACTGTTCGCAACCATTGTAAGCACTTTTTGCAATTTACGCAGCTATGAGAAAGCAGTTGCAGTTCAATTGTGTCGTCACCAAACTGTTGTCAAGGAAACTACTAGCAATTTCTACGTTGCCAAACATATCATTCGAATTGAAATGATAAAGGTTACGAAGGGTACACATGAATAGCGAATGATAGTCGTATGCGACTTTTCATACATCGTTTTAAAACGAATACGAATCAATTCGAGTGAGGTCAAGAATAGCACCCCTGGAGGCGGGAAATTTCAATACAAAATCTCATTCGATTTGCCTCTTCTTTTATAGCGTCCCAAGGCCGATCGTATTGTGTGGATCGCCTCGAGGCGATTGTGCCAATCTTTCGGACTGAACCTCAGTTCTTTTAATAAATTTAGATGGGAGTAATATTTCCTTTTCTGTAACTAGTCTTTATAGTCCAGAACTTTCGCTTCACTCTTTTTTTATTACTTTCGACAGCTAACAATAATCCATATATATAAGAGAAGTATATGGATAACCGCCTATGATTGCAATGTGCAAATTGTTCGCCATAAAAGAGAGCTGCCCTATTCCTTAGTCCTGAACTCTGTATTTATGCGCAAACTCCCCAAGTAAATATTTACTTCTCTCCGCCTACTTTTAAGTAGCGCCAATTTCAAATTTCATAACCTATAACTCGAAAATAGG